TTCTCAAAAGGAACCTTTTTCGACCTGCGACCTGTACTTTTGTTACAATTTAACATCTACTGACCGACGGACATGCATAAATCGACTCAGAAAGTGATTCTATGCATATTCTCAAAAGGAACCATGTGTCTATATGGTTTCCATTTTTCCTGTTACAAACATCTGCACAAAGACATAATGCCCTGTGCCACAGTATGGTGCAAGGTATAAACGGTCCAAGCATACAGATGGTCCTTCAAAAAATATTTTCTAAATATCGAGGCCTGATTTGTAAAAAATCTTATACTTAGAAAATATATATCAAAATAGTTTTATTTAAACAGTATTCCAGAAGTTTATTGATGAAACATATTTGCAAAGCAGAAAGTCCAAAAAATGGCTGACAACCCGAAATTTTTCTCCCCCATCAGGGACACACACTTTAGCTTCGTCATGCGTTTTTCTTTGGCGTTTTTCTTCTGCTATACAATTTGTTTAATAAAATTTCCTTATCATTTATTTCAATGTTCGTGTTTTTTTTTCAACATTTTGCCTCGAACTCTTTTATAATCTGTCATTTTCATTAAGATAGCAGAAAGAGGAAAACACACACACATGTGCATGAATGTACAAAAATAAAGATTATCACACACACACAAACAATCTAACAACATTGTTGATTTAGTTTGTAAGTTAATCGGAAAGATTTGAGGCCAGGTATAACATCCCGTTCGTGTGCACATGCCTAAATCCGTTTTCCTTAAGGTCCAAAATAATCTCCCATCCACCCCCATCTGATTCTCCCTATCTCACACATCATCCGTTTCCGGTACAATTTTCTGCCAGACACGTACAGCATAAAGGTGTGTCAGTCCAAGTACGCACACAGGCACATTTATTTTTTCTTTCTTCCTCATTTGAATGTGTGTGCGTGCATATCCATATTTAAATGTGTAACTGGCTTTGTGTCAATTGTCAAATCTATCTAACGTTTGTCAATAAAGATTAAATGACAGCTGTAACTTAAATTCAAATGGGGAAATAATTTGACATTTGAGATGGCGTAGAGAAAAGATAACAGGAGACCGAAAGGCAAAAGCGGGACAATTGATGATTTTTCTTTATTAATTTATAAATGGTGTCATCTAGCCTACTCCCAGAGGTTCAGGACACACATAGTTAGCCTGAAGCCGTATCAAATTGACAAAAGGACAATGCAAAATCACACAGACATATATATTTACCTAAAGGTGGATGTGAAATTTTGTGTAGAAGGACTTGATATAAAAAAATATATAATTTTTAAAAATCAAGGTTGCTTTCATGGCATTTGAAAAAAAATAAAAATCTGAGCTTTTGACAGTCCTCGATAAAATATTTAAAAATAATCCGCCTTGAAAATTAACAAAGTTTGGCTATTAAAAGACCTTGAAAAATATTAAAAAAACACTTCACTCCTACAAATTTCAAGAGAAAATATTTTATTTTCAAAAAAAAAAAAAAAAAAACAATTTTCAGACAATCATGGTAAAGTACGTTTTCTGAAAGTCGGATCATCTGGCAGCCACTGAAAAATATTTGGTTAAATATCTTTATTTCTGGAAAACCATTACAATTTTCTTAAAATAAAAAATTATGATTAGGATATTTACCACACAAATGATGACCTCGGAAATCACTACTGTATAACAGATGGCCTTCACTGTACATTAGCTGGCCTTAGGAGACCTCTAGTGTAAAATATTTGCCCATAGGTCCCTACTGTATAGTAGATATCTTTAGAAACCTCTATTTAATGTAAGTCTGTCTCTATAGTGTAGTAGTTGACTTTTATTACTAATTGAATATGGTATAGTAACTGGTATCTACCCATATTATCTGGCCTCTAGTATTCCGTAACTGACCTCAGAGACCTCTACTGTATGGTAATTGTCCTTAGATTCTATTCTCTACTATAACTTATATCAGAATCTTGCAATATATTGTATATTTCCTCCACAGATTTCAACTTATAGTAGGTGGCCTCCGAAATTTCTAATGTGTAGAAACTGATCCCAAATGCGTGTACTTTATTCTGTTTGGCCTCTATTGTATACCATCTGGCCTGAGAGGACTCCACTATATAGTATCTGGTCTCAGATGCCTTTAATGTATATTAACTAGCTTTAGAAAACTCGTAGGTATAGTGGCTGACATCTACTGTGTAGTAGTAGGGATCTACTATATAGTAACTGACTTTTACTGTATAGTATTTGGCGTCAGAGGCATCTACTGTAAAAAACAATGCCTATTCTGTATAAAAGCTGACATACAGATGTCTCTGTTGTATAATATCTACCCCCAGAGGCTTCCTGGTATAACATATAACATACATAACATACTGTGCCCTCAGAAGCATCTACTGCACCCTATCTGACCTCAGATGGTTCTACTATTTAATACCATGCCTCATAGACATCTATTGTGTAGTATTTGACCTACAGAGTCATCTACTGCATACGATCTGATCAGGGGCCTGTATATTGCCAGATTGTAGGTATATGGTGAATTGTAGCTAAAATCTGATTCCTATGCAATATGTGCTCCAGAGATTTGTACAGTAGTTGGTGTTGTAGCTAAAATCTGATTCCTACGCAATATGAACGTGTGCTTCAGAGATTTGTACAGTAGCTGGTGTCAGAGGAATTTACTGTATACTAGATGACCTGAGAGGCCTCTGTTGGATATTAGAAGTATTGTAGTGGACCTGCAAAGCTAATATTTTATAGTATCTGACCTCAAAAGCATCTATCAGTTTTTTTTCTAGCATCAGGCGCATCTACTGTATATTATTTGGCCTCAGAAGACTGTATTGTATGCATCTGTTGGGTTACCGCTTACTTCAGATGCATCTGATCTGTCTGCTGAGTCAATTCTATAGTAGTTGGGTTTTTGATACCTCTACTGTAAAGTGATTGGCCTCAGAGAACTCTACTGTATAGTGATAGACCTCAGAGTCATCTACTGTATTTTAAGTGGCATAATATTCTTCTTTTCTTTTCAAAACTGACTTTAGAAGCCTCTACTGTAGAGTATTTGATCTTAGAGACCTCAACCGTATATTACATGACTTGAGAGACCTCTACCGTATAGTAGCAGCACTCAAAGGCATGTACTGTATAGAAAATTGCCCCAGAGACCTTTGCTGGGTAATAGCAGTATTGTACTTCTGACTTATGGGGCAAATGATTTAAAATATATAACCTAAATAGTAACTATATATGCTATCTGATCTGTATATTATTTGGCCATAGATGGGTTGTAGCAGTTTTGTAGCATATATCAGATGTCTATGATATATGGTAGTTGGCCTCTAAATACTCTGTTGTATAGTAGTTGGGTTTTAATATCTCTACTGTATAGTGATTGCCCTCAGATTACTCTACTGTGTAATAGATGGCCTCGATTGGGTAGTAGAAGTTGTGTAACTGATCTCAGATTCTATTGCAGCATATATTAGAAGCTTCTACAGTGCCGTAAATGGCACGGAGTACAGTAACTTGCATTCCAATTTTCTTCTCTTTGGCAACTGGCTTTGGGTCTCTTCTGTAAAGTAGTTTACCTCTGATACCTCTACAGTATAGTAGCTGGTCTTAAAGATGTATATTGTATTGCAGATGGCCTTACAAGCCACTGTGGGCTAATAACAGTATTGTCCGAGGATAATGCTGTATATTATTTATCTTCAGAAGCATATAGGTTATAGTAGCTGGGCAGATGGCCTCAGAAGCCTCTGCTGGGTAAGAACAGGCTAATGCTGTAAAGTATTTGACCTCAGAAGCATATAGTGTATAGTAGGTGGACAGATGGCCTTAAAAGCTTCTGCTGGGTATGAACAGTATTGTCCGAGGCTAAAGTAGCTGGACTAAAAGTTCTGTACTGTCTGACCTCAGAGCATTATATTGTTTACTATCTGACACCAGATGTCGGACCTGTAGTCAGATACCTCTGCTGGGTAATAGTACTATTTTAGTTGACTACACATTCTAATGATTTATATTATCTTACCTCAAAAGTAACTATCTATTCCATATGCCCTCTGAAGCCTCTACTATATATTATTTGGCCTCAGGTGACAGTTCTGTAGGCATCTACTGGGCTGTAACAGTATTGTAACTGACTTCAGATGCCTATGATGTATGAAAGTTGGCCTCTAAGGTATCTACTGTATAGTAGTTGGACTTTAGCGTTCTAAAATGTATTGTGGTTGACTTCAGACAATTCTACTCTACAATAGATGGCTTCAGAGGCCTCGATTGGGTAGTAAAAGTATTGCAATTGATCTAAGATTCTAATACAGATTCAGAGTCTAAGCAGATCTTTGAAACCCCAGAGCCATCTAGTGTATGATATCATACATTATATTCTTCTTCCCTTTGGTAACTGGCTTTAGAGGCCTCTACTATATGGTAGTTGACCTTAGAAACCTCTAGCGTATACTCAGAGGGCTCTGCCGGGTAAAAAATGTTATTGTCCGAGGCTAATGTTGTGCTTCTGATGTCAACAAAAGCCTCTAATGAGTACAAGGTAACCTTTGTTGTATGATCTCTGGCCACAGAAAACTCTATTGTGTGCTATCTGACTCAAGATGTCGGTACTGTGGGCCCCCGCTAGATTTTAGTAGTATTGTAACTGACTGCAGATGTCTGAGCAATATAGTAGTTGGTCTTAGATGATTCTACTGCTTAATAACTGGACGCAGAGGCCTCTTCTGGGTATAAATCTGCTCTCAAAGGCCTCAGAGACATCTGATGGGTAGTAGAAGTATTGTAGCCTCCACTATGTACTAGCTGGACTCGGAGACCTCTACGTTATAGTAACTGTAACATAGGCCTGTAATTTTTAGTATAAGTCATTCGAGATCTCTTCGTTATAGTTGTTGGCCTTAGCCCTTTTGATAATAGCTGACTTTTCGGTACTTTTTCATGACAAATTCCGCACATTTCCATCTTGTAATTAACAAACAAAATAAATTGACTTACCACCCAATACACCAGCCACATAACCGGTATTATTGCTGCGACCCTTCTTCATCAGGGCCTCATCGATCAATAGTAGACGCTGGGAGGCAAATGGATCTGGTTTAACGGGTCCCTCATACAAATCCATATCATCATGGTTACGAAAGAGATTATGACGGGCGATGACATCTTCCATGCCGCTGCGATGTAATTCCGGTATCAGACGCATCCAAATTGACAACTGATGGGCACGAAAGTGATTTTTAATGCGGGGTTTCATGCCTAAAAAAAACAAAATATTTCTTTTATTTCAAAATTTCACAGAAACGCGAGATTTTCTGAAGTACAAATTTTAACAAAAGATTTGTTGTTGCTGTTGTCGTTTGCTTTTTGAATTGTCATGGCAAAGCAACTTAACACAATTTAATGGTAAATTATATGTGTCTGAATTCTTTCATTACAATTCAGGTTCGTTTTTTTCTTGTTCTGTCAACTTTCGCATTTAATGGTAATTTGAAAGCTCAGGATTCTTTTCTTCTGTTTGCCATTAACGCAAACAATACTCTTGGCAAACATTTGATAATGGAAAGAGAAAAAATACGTACGCACTCTCACACAGACACACGCACACATCAGCAGAATCGTTTAAATTCAATTCATGTCATATAACAATAAGACTTCCCAAAACGAAGTCTAAATGTCAAGAGAATAATAAAATGATTGCTGATTATCAACCAGAATAAGGACGAGAAAAAAACGGCAACAATGGCTAGACAATTTTAATGTGTTCTTTTGAAAAAAAAAAAATAAATAAATAACAGAAGAAAAAAAGTATAACAGAATTTAATTTCGCGAAATGAGGTCTACGTGGAAATATGAGCTAAGAATTTAAGGCATGTTAAGCAAAGCTGAAATTCAAGAATTCCTTCAGTTACTGCTAATAAGTTTTGTGTGGGGTTTGAGGATAAGTGTTAGGTAAAATGTAAATGCGCACATGACATCTACACACAGAACAAGGTCAGTAAAAAACCAGTAAGGAAAGTAGGTCGGACTGGGCCGACCCTTCACCACTTTGGGTATACCCAACAGATGAATCCTAACAGACGTCAAATTTTTGAAGGACCAAGGACAAAATTATGTAAATCAATTTATGCTAATATATATATATATAACTTTGGTACATCATTTACATTAAATCGGACGAAAATGTATGTGGGAGCTATATCTACATCTGGGCCGATTTTCAGGAAACTTAACACACATCATTCTAGACCTAATTCAAAATCGGACTTTGTGTAACAGGTAAAAGGAAACGAGATCACTTTATAAGTCGATTTTTGCATGTCCGTCCGTCTGTCTGTCTGTCCATGTTAAATTGTAAACAAAGTACAGGTGGCATTTATGATTCGAATTTGATGAAATTTGGCACAAGTCACTTATCGAACCCTATTGAAATAGGGAAAAATCGGTTCAGATTTAGATATAGCTCCCATATATATTATCGTCCTATTTAATGTAAACGGTCCCTATATATCTTTCGATTTGCATGAAATTTGGTACAGGGGTAGAATTTAGGTCTAGAATTATGTGTGTCAAGTTTCGTGAAAATCAGTTCAGATTTGGATATAGCTCCCATATATATTTTCGTCCGATTTAAGATAAATGGGATACCAAAGTCCCTATATATCTTTCGATTTGCACGAAATTTGGTACAGGGTAATGAATTAGGTCTAGAATGATGTGTGTCAAGTTTCGTGGAAATCGGTTCAGATTTGGACATAGCTCCCATATATATTTTCGTCCGATTTAAGGTAAATGGTGTACCAAAGTCCCTATATATCTTTCGATATGCATGAAATTTGGTACAGCGTAATAAATTAGGCCTAGAATGATGTGTGTCAAGTTTCCTAATAATCGGTTCAGATTTGGATATAGCTCCCAAATATATTTTCGTCCGATTTAATGTAAATGGTGTACCAATGTCCCTATATATCTTTCGATTTGCACGAAATTTGGCATAGCGCACTGAATAAAGTCTAGAATGATGTGTGTCAAGTTTCCTGGAAATCGGTTCAGATTTGGATATAGCTCCCATATATATTTTCGTCCGATTTAAGGTAAATTGTGTACCAAAGTCCCTAAATATCTTTCGATTTGCACGAAAATTGGCACAGCGTACTAAATTAAGTCTAGAATGATGTGTGCAAAGTTTCGTGAATATCGGTGCCGATTTAGATATAGCTCCCATATATAGTTTCGGCCGATTTTAGGTAATTGGAGCACCAAAGTCCCTGGAAATATTTTAATTTGCACGAATTTTGGCATATCGTACTGAATTAAGTCTAGAATGATGTGTGCAAAGTTTCGTGAACATCGTTTCAGATTTAGACATAGCTCCTATATATATTGTCGTCGGATTTTATGTAACTTGTGCACCAAAGTCCCTATATACCTTTCGATTTGTATGAATTTTGGTATAGGGTACTGAATTAAGTCTAAAATGTCCATACCTAGGCCCAGTGACACAACGTACTGATGTAATATAAATTAGTCTCTGGCAATTTTCCCCTAAATCGGTTCAGATATAGATATATAACAAAAACGTGTCGTCCGTTAGGATACATATGTAGAATATACCCAAAGTGGTGAAGGGTATCATATAGTCGGCCCAGTCCGACTTTACTACCTTCCTTACTGGTTTTTTTTCTTGAAGTGAATTTTTGTGCCATAAAATAAAAAAAAAACTGGTCACTTTAGGTTTTGGTTGATTTGATCCTCGAAATATTGACCGATCATCATTTAAACAGCCGCTCTAAGTATTTCCTCACATCCTCTTCACCTTGTAAAATATACGATGTTCTTCATATAATTGCCGCTAGAGCGACTAGAAAATCTGACAAAATTAAAGTTTTCCGTTCATTTCACCCCCTGAATGAAAACTATAGGCGTCGTAGTTGACCATAATCGGAACTTCCTTTACAATTTCAAAGCGATAAGCGCGACATTTCCTTCCTCTAATGGAGTAATAGTAATATTATGCACATTTATCTTATTGTGCATAACTCCCATATCTGAGCACATCCGACAATATAATTGGTATCAATTTAAAGGTCAAGTAATCCTCCTCGATATACTATCTACTTCTCGGGTCTATGTCCTTCAGGGGTAAATATATACGCTATAGAATACAAATGTTGTCATTACTCACACAAAAGTCAGGGTCCATTTGACCCGCTAAATATTTACCGATCTTTATCAAAACAGGCATGCCTGTTCTTTTGGCCCGATGGGTCGTAATTGCGGCCTCTGGAGCGACCAGAAAAACCGACAAAAATGAAGTATTTGATGCATTTGATCCCCTAAATATTATCCGATCTTTACCAAAAAACAATAGGATCTTCATTGGCCAGAACCCATCCTACATGCAAAATTTCGTGAAGGTTGGTCCATAACTGTGGCCTGTATCGTGTTTACAATTTATAATGGACAGACGGACACACATGTCTAGATCGATTTAGCTAGTCGAGATGGGTCTAGGACCAATAATTCGCGGCGTTACAAACTCTTGGGGCTGCACAATGCTATAATACCCTGACAACATAGTTGTGTAGGGTATAATTACGCTTATTGGTGGATGGTTCACGCATTGTAAAATGTCAAATGCCTTTAAGTTTGTACTTGAATATCATTTCCCCATACCCTGACTCCCAACATTACCTCCTTCCCCCGTATCTGTGTTGTTGAAAACAATAAAATCTGTTTTGAATATTACCTACAATAACATGATAAAAAGAATTCAACAAAAAAACCAACAACGATGTTTTCATAAGAATCCCCTACCAGTTCTTCCACTTCCACA